TAGAGTAGGAGTGACCACAGTCTTAGAACCAACCACCCGAATTCCATGTTCTCTCGCTCCCTTCCCTCCACCTGTTTGCTCTGCCAGAGCACAGCATCCTGTAGCTCTACTGACTCCCTCCTTTACCCCTGTCCTGACTTCCAAAGAAATGGGACCTATGCAGTCCAGCAGCAGGGTTTTTGTTTTTGTTTTCTTATTGAGCACTTAATGCGAGTCAGCTCTTATGCTAGGCACTGGGGATACAGCAGTGAACAAAACACGTGGTAGTATTATGGTGTTCTCTCTCTCCTATGCTTCACCAGGAGGGAGAACCCAAAATTCTTATGTCCCAAAGCTTAATAGCACTCAGAGCTCGCTAGGTCCAGGGTTTGGGGTTTGGAAGCACCTCAAGGACCCTTTAGGTTAGTGCCCAAAAAGGAAGTAACTTGCAGTTAGCTACTAGTATATGATAAAGAACAGGAAGACTTCTGTTATGGGCTGTAGTTGGGGAAGACGCAGAAGAAACTGTTGGGAATCAAACCATTATTTTTAGTGTATGAGCAAGGTAATGAAACTAGGTATCTTATCAAGGAAAACTTAACACTGATGCTAAATAGAAATATTGGAGAACTTTCAGATGGAGAACAAATAAAGCCAAGAATTGGTTTGATGGCGAACCTTTTGAGCTCGGTGTGTCAGCATTTTGAAAAACCCTAACTTAACTTTGGTGCCATGTCACATATAGAAATTTTTTGATATTTGCAACCATAGTAAAACAAAGACATAGTTTTGATATTTATTTTATATATTTAAATGCCATTTAACAAAGAAGAATCAACCCAAAAAATGAGTTCGCGTGTCACCTCTGACACGCATGTCATAGGTTCGCCATCACTGGACTAGGTTCAAGAGCAATATTTATTACCGCCATTTGTATGAATTGTTTATTTTTATTAATCTTCTCCTGAGGATATTTTTCCATTGATTTTTAGAGAGAGTGGAAGAGAGAGGGAAAGACAGAAATATCAATGTGAGAGAAACAGATTGATTGGTTGCTTCCTGCATGTCCCTGACTAGGGCCTGGCCCGGGAGGAGCCTACAATCCAGGCATGTGCCCTTGACCAGAATTGAACCCGGGACCCTTTGGTCTACGGGCTGACACTCTATCCACTAAGCAAAACTGGCTAGGGCTGAATTGTTTAATTATATGGCAGCACTTGGTGTGTTCAACTTTCACGATTTGCTGCTTGTACTGGCAAGGTCATCTGCTAATAGATAACTGATTTTTCGAGCTTGAAAGGATCTTGTAAGGATTATATGGCATAGCCTGCTCACAATCTAAAAATTTAGACTCGAGGGAGAAGCTTGGGACTTCTGGGAGTAGTAACATTATTAGGCTTTTGCTTTGGATTTTTCTCATATTCTTTTGAAAATATGTGCTTCAATCTATGCTGCTATTATATTTATAGAATTTTGTTGTGTTCAAGGTGTCGATTCAGAAGGAATTGGGGAATTTAAAAAATACATGTTCTTGATACAGAACCTTTGAGGAAGATGCAAATGTGTTTTGAATGTTTAATTTGCTTAGATTTAAAAATACATATCTTCAAGCAAAGTTGCCATGACAACCTTTCGTAATGTGTGTATACATTTTATGTCTGTCTCCGAGGTTTTCATCTTTCCCAATACATGGTTTAATCACAAGAATTGGTCACTGTGGTCTATTTCTATCTGCATGGTGCCCTGTTGGAATTACATAATTTTGGAAAATGCAAATCAAGCAATAGAGCAATTCTGTACCACAGTGATTCCAACAAGATAAATGTCATCCTGTCTCCATGATCAGAGACTGATCTGGTTTCAAATCCAAGATGACATTTTAGACAGAAGTAGAACCATGAGTTTGTTCTGAGTTTCTGTTTTTTCTTATTCAGAGGACTTATAGGAGGGTCCTAGGAAATTTGGGAAATTCTGGATTAAATCTCTTAGCCCCAGAACTGATCCAGCCTCCTGGGATCATCTAATACACTAAAAATCTCATTTGTAGACCCCTTTTCACTGAGGGAACTCTTACTTTCCGGTATTTTAATCGTCATTGCTGAAGATTTTTCTGTTGGAAGGTAAAATGGTATTTTCCCCTGAAATACCATCATAAAACCTTATATTTCAGTGATATGAGTCATTCACTTATTCATCTGGGTAGACATTTAGATAATACAAGTAGCTAACAGAAGTCTGTGAGAAATATATTGTTAATTCCTGTGGAGGAGGAAGGAAGAAATCCTACTGATGTATTTTTAATGTAGTTAAATTCAGCATTCCCGGCCATTTTAAAATATCAAAATTATTCTGTTTTGCGCCTTTCTTTCCAAGAGGCTACATAAAATTTCTTTGACAAAGAAAATAATGAATCTTTTTTTTTTCTGTTAACCTCTTCTACGTTCCGTTTTATGAACACAGCAAAGAATAGCCTTGTTCTTACCAACCTTGTACTTACTACACAAGTAAAACTTATTAGCATGCACTATGGTGTTTAGTTAGCAATCTTGTCCAAGTGTAACCTTTTTGCAATATTACTGAAACTGACAAGAAACAGATTGTTATAAAAAAAAAGTGGCAGTTGCCAAAACCGGTTTGGCTTGGTGGATAGAGCGTTGGCCTGCGGACTCAAGGGTCACAGGTTCGATTCTGGCCAAGGGCATGTACCTTGGTTGCAGGCACATCCACATCCCCGGTGGGAGGTGTGCAGGAGGCAGCTGGTCACTGTTTCTCTCTCATCGATGTTTCTAACTCTCTATCCCTCTCCCTTCCTCTCTGTAAAAAATCAATAAAAATATATTTTCTTTAAAAAGTGGCAGTTGTGGGAATCATACATGCTGTAGGTAAGTTTTCAGCATACAAGTTCTAATGGTATTAATGTACAATCAGAAAAACTGGTACATTTCAAACTCTTCGCAATTCATATTATTATGTAAAAGAAAACTTTGCTTGGTCCAATATGTTTTATTCGCTTGATTATTCATAAGTGTCTTATTCCCTGAAGCAAGTTTATGTGCTATTTAAGTCACTACTACCCCATTCCCTCACTCTGCTCTCTAATGAATCTCTGGAGAGGGATCCTGCAGCTTTCATTTTTAAACAAGCTCATCGCACTGAAGTTAGATAGTCACTAATACAGAAGCTGTTTAACGTGATTAAGAGTAAAACTGGTTGGACGGGACCAACATTTTCAGTGTCTTTTCATTTGGGTTCCACAGTGAAAACTCAAAACACTTTGCTAACATGTTTGTCATTAAGCCAATATAGTAACATCAGAGATTGCTCCAGAAATCTGTAGTGGTAAGTCATTGAAATAATTTTTTGAGAAAGTATAATATAGTTTCCTCATTATCTGGGGGAAAAAAAGGGGGGGGGGTGCAGGGAATCACTGTAGAAGGAATAAGAGATCACAAAAGTGAGAACAAGAGTTGAAATAATGGATCTTGTTCTAAACTACAACCTTGACTTTACGCGGTACAAAAAAGGTCACAGACTTTACAAAAAGCTCAGTGGTTGTCAGGAATTTAAAGAATAGTCAGACTTATGAAAAAGATACAGCATTGGGAGAATAAGAACAAAACTGCAAGATCAAAATGATCTACCTTGACTTTTTCTAGCATTTAATGTTTTTCAAGGTGCTTTCACCTTAACTCGTATTTTATTCATGTAACAGCCCTGTGAGGAAGGAAATTAGTACGGTTTCCAAGACTTTACTGAATCTGTGGTGGGCAGCTAGACACACATGAGCAGAGTAAGGACTGTGGGCCAAGCACGGAAGTCACTGGGGCATCACGCCCTGGGTGCCCAGCAAAGGACCACTGTGGGGTGGGACCCCGTCCCCAGGTCCCTTTCCTCCCCTAGCTACTGGCATTTTGCTGGCCATGTGCTTTGGACCCTAGGACCTTTCTTACCTCGGGATAACATCTGGGCCTCAGTTGTATTTCAGTTCCAGGCCTAGAAAGGCAGCAAAACCAGATAAAAGCAACAACAAGCCCCCACTGACCTCAGGACCAGCTGCACTGACTAATGACCCAGCTGGTGCCTGCCAGTCCGTCAGTGGAGACCCAGCCCTGGGCGGACACACCTGGAAAGCTGCTGCCTGTTCTATTGAGATCCCCCTGGGTCCTCCCCTGAAACCTCCTCCCTTAGAGCCCTTCGGAAGGGGGACCTGGCATGCTCTCCTGGGAGCAGTCCTGCCTTTCCCTCCCCCTCCCCCTCTCCCCAGAGAGGTGGCCTTGACCTTGGTCACGTCTAAGCTCTAAGGGACCTTCCTTCGCCTCTGTAACTTATCTTCTATCTCCTAAGCCCTTTTCTTCTATGAATGTCCTCCTCTACGACTGACTCTGTGACTTGATAAATGTTCTCTTATGGCTCTGAATTTTTTCCTATTTAGATTCCAATACTGAGGCTGCTGAACCCAGGCCTGGTCTGACCCCACTGGACTAACACCTGGAGCCCTTCTCAAGGACACCCCCCCCCCCCCCCCCAACAAATCAAGGAAGAAACGTGGAGAGAACCAGAGAGATGGCAGAAGAGGTGGTCAGAGAGGGAGCGAGTCGGAGGGCAAGCACGAAAGGCTGAGGTCCAGGGGACGGGCAGAGCAGCTTCGGCGATAAAGCGCAAAAGAAGCTGGAGCGCGGGAAAGGCGGGGTTAGGAACCGGGAGGTGGTTACGCATCCCCGAGAGGACAGCTGAGGTCGAGGATGAAGAGGAAATGCAGAGTCGGGCGCTCTCCGAGCTGCATGGAAGTTTGTGGGCGGACATCCCGCAGGCCAATGGCCGCGGCTTTCGTCTCCGAGCCACGCCACCTGCGGGGGCCCAAGGGTTAACCGCACGCGCCTCCCGCCTGCATCCCGGCCCCGCTCGCCGTCTCTAGGAGACGCCGGAAGTGGGGGCGGGGCGCGGTGGGAATCCTGGCCCGGCGCCCGGCGCAGGGAGGAGCGCGCGTGCGCGCGCCCGGCCGGCAGTCGCCGGGGTGACCGTCCGCGGAGGCCGTGGGCTCGCGGCTCGCGCCCCGCCCCCGTCCCCGCGGCCCCCTCCCCCGTCGCTCCCGCCGGGTGTCCTCGCTCCTCCCGAGCGGCCGCCGCTCCTCCGCTGCCAGGCGCGGGCTTCCCGGGCGCTGCGGCCGCCGCTGCCTCCGCGGTCTGCGCGAGGAGGAGGAGGATGTGAAGATGGCGGAGCTGCAGATGCTGCTGGAAGAGGAGATCCCGGGGGGCCGCCGGGCCCTCTTCGACAGCTACACGAACCTGGAGCGGGTGGCCGACTACTGCGAGAACAACTACATCCAGGTGAGGCTCCGGCCCGGCTCACGGCGGGCGGGCGGGCGGGCGGGGGGCCCCGGGCCGGGGGCGCAGGGCGCTCGGGGCGAGGCCGGGCGGGGATGCGGCCCACGGAGCCCGCGATGGCGTGGGGGAGGGTGGCCGCGGGGGCTGGGGGCGGGCGAGAACCCTCCGGTTGGAGGACAGTGTAGCTTTAAAAGCCACGTTTAAAAGCCACGAACTGGGGGTGTGTGGTGTCCCCGCCTCGTCGCTCCTCTGCCCTCGGTCGCCCCCGCACGCGGTGCCGGTCCGTGTGCCGGGGGCGGAGGGAGGAGCGGACGGTGGCATTTTCTGTTGACAGAATCCTGCTCCCCTGGGCGGCAGGGGTGTCGGGAGTGATGGGTCCCCCCTGCCCCCAGGTCCTGGAGGAGGTTTTAAAAGGAGCGATGCCCGTTGCCAAGCGAAGTGCCTCCGTTTTCTATTGATGTGAATGCCTCTGCGTGCGTGTGCGTGTGTGTTGGGGGTGCTGTGTGTTGGGGTGTGTGTTGGGAGGGGTGCTGTGTGTCCGCTTCTCGTCGGGATGCAGGAAGAGCGGTAGTCTCCTGTTGGAAGTTGTGCTGCTTCCCTCCCTGCGGCGCCGCGGAGCTGCGGGATCCCCTCCCCGCCCCCACCCCACCCTCACCCCACCCCCACCCCGCTGGACTGGGACCCCCTCCCCGCCCCCACCCCGCTGGACTGGGACCCCCTCCCCGCCCCCACCCCGCTGGACTGGGTCCCCCCTCCCCGCCCCCACCCCGCTGGACTGGGACCCCCTCCCCGCCCCCACCCCGCTGGACTGGGACCCCCTCCCCGCCCCCACCCCGCTGGCCTGGGACCCCCCTCCCCGCCCCCACCCCGCTGGACTGGGACCCCCTCCCCGCCCCCACCCCACCCCCACCCCACCGGACTGGGACCCCCTCCCCGCCCCCACCCCGCTGGACTGGGACCCCCTCCCCGCCCCCACCCCGCCGGACTCGGTCACTGGTGTTCCGGTGGGAACGGGAGTGACTGACTGAGCATCGGGGATGGTCCTCAGGCTTCCTTTCCCGGTGGCGCTGGGCCGGCGTAGGGACCCTGTGCAGCGCTGTGTCTGCGGCTCGGAGGCCAGGGCTACTGAGTGCGATGAGGCGCCGCTGCGCCTGGGTGAGGCCAGCGACTCTGTGGGTTAAAAAAAAAAATCCTTTGAAAATTATTTGAAAGAATAGGTTAAAACGCACAGGTTAGAAATTCAGCATCTTTTGTTTTCTTTATGGCTGTTTCTGAATCACAGGGTCTACCTCCATTTTTCCCCCTTCCCACTTAAATTCACTTGGCATGAAGGTGGAAATGGAAGAAGTAGGTTAAATTGTTCCTACACTAGGGTCTTTTTTCCCCTCCTGCCCCCATCCCCGTTTCTCCTTTTTAACATCAGATATTGGGACGCATTCTCAAGTCTTAGTTTAAATTTTTAAAAAAGGTGTTAAAATGTATAGGTTCATAAATTTCATAAGGACCACGTGGTTAATCAAGGACGGTATTGTGAGATTTTACTTGCAATGCAATGAACTCTGTATTATCTTGTAGGGAATATTTTTATTGTAGAATGAACCAGGCACAATCCAAAGAGGCAGTTGAAAGTATGGCTGGTGCTCTGACCCAAGAATATTTCTTGGGTCAGAGATTCATACAAAAAATACAGTTGTCCATGTTTGTAGGGTGCTTTTCTGATACTGAGTGGGGTAGTAGAGATTCAAAGGTTCAGTTGCTCAATTTCCACCAAATGTAGTCAGAAGTGTTCTATGGCCTACGGCGTGGCCCTGTGTCAAGGGTTGCTAGGCACCTAGTGTCTGCAGAATTGCATAGTGCAGTTAGCAGGAGAAGCTGCTCTGTGAGCTAGTGAATACTGTTTGCCGTGCCAGCTTATGCTCTGTGATGGACTTCAGGTGGGAGGAGGATTGGAAGCAGCTGTGCTGTCTCAGGGAATTCACATCCTCCAGGAGAGACTGAAGGGGTCATCCTATTGCTGTGGGCAGCGAGCTACAGGAAAGAGTTAAAGGTCAGAAAGAAATCGAGGGTGGGCAACAGTTTGTAGTTGCGCTTAATTATCTGTGCGTAAAGAGAAGAGACAGATTTGTCTCTCTTTGGAAGATAATTTTAATTGTAATTTCAAGGTATACTTCCTCGTAGGTTACAGTTGTTACGTAAAGGTGCAAGTACCTGGATTAACAAAGCTGAGAGGTGAGAGAGATCAGTGATGGCTGTCTTTCTATACCTACACACCCTGTCTCAGCAGGGGGACTCAAAATTTAGTGGTGGCATTTTGAAATTCAAAGTATAAATATTGATTAATAGAAGTGGATTTGGATTTTAAAATACTTGTTCAGTTTTAGCATCTAAAAAAGATTTTACATTTTTACCTTAGATTCTCATCTGTTGTAGGATTCAGAGGGTATATTCTTGGTGTTCTTTCTAGATGGCAGCTCCTACATGAACTGTTGTAGTAAAGTTGATAAATAGAACATGATGATAGTGATTTGTGCTGACCTAGCTGCACATTTGGCCAGCTCTCCTTGCAATCCAAAGAATTGACCAGCAGGGGTTTTGATGCTGCCTCTGACCCTGCAATAGATTAAAGGTAATTGGTGGGATCAGTGACCAAGTGGTTAATTTAGCCTTATAGCATCATGCCCTAACCACTAGTTTAAGTTAAGTAACCCGACACTGATTTTATTTTGTATAATGTAATTTTTGCTTGTAAAGGAGAAAAAGGACAGATCTGTTGATCATATGTAACAAAAGGTAAGGGTTTTTTTTGCTCAGTGTTTTTAACACATTGCGGGCGGATCATGGGCATTCTTCTTGTGTTTTCATATTACACAGTGTTTTACATAAATGTGAAAGGCACGCCTTAAAATCAAATACCCATTGCATTTTGAAGTTATTTATTACATGTTCTTACAAGCTAATATCTTTTTAAAGTGTGATATTTTGTAAAACGTTTTTTTGTACTCGTTCCATAGAAACTTATCTGGCCACTGGGCAATAAAACTACTGGTGCACAATGTGTTAAGTAGCTGGTTTTATGCAAAGGGGTATCCAAAATTTAAGAAAAATAAGTATGTTCTAAATGTGGGTTGTATTGTGTGAAATTGACAAAGGAGGGAAATAATTGTGTAGTCTTTCTAAAAACCATTGTACTCTTTAAATTGTTTCTGTGTTATAAAAATATCCTGCAGATATATTATCAGCATTAGAAGTGAACAGATATTGTCTGTATGAGCACACAACATCTACAGGTAAAGCAGAGCTGGATTGTAAGTAGTAGTTGTCCATGTTACTAATGTGGTTAACAGAAACTTAAAAATAATCTGTAGTAAAATTTTAGATTTTTGTTTTATTCAATCTCTAGAAACAATTTTTTCTAAAATGTGATGATAGAAAGTTATGACTACAATTTGCTGATACTTACCTGATTATAAAAAAGAACTTAGTAATCGTTAAGGATTTTTTTTGAGATACATGTAAGACCAATGTTTCTTTTCTTCATTTATTAATGTAAATATTTATGCCTAATCTAGGAAGTGTCCAGAAATTTAAAAAAAACTACACACATTTTTGATTAACTTGGAATCTACAGCTTTATAAATAGAAGAATTTTATTTTTTAATTTATTGTTTCTTAGAGAGAGAGAGAGACATCGATTCAAACATCCATTCGTTGTCCCACTTATGTATGCGTTCCTTGGCTGATTCTTATGCCCTGTCTGGGCATCAAATCTACAACCTTGCAAATTTGGATGACACTCTGACCAACTGAGCTACCCACTAGGGCGAAGAATTTTATATTTGCTTTAATATTTTGGTAGATGAAATACATTTATAGTTGTTACTTTCCTTAATTAAGACTGAAAAACCATCTTGTTTGTATTTACATTTTTTTCTATTTTTAGATAAAAGAAAGTTACTGATTTTTGTGAGTGATAATTCACATACATAGTAAAATTCCATGGCACATTATTTGGATATGAAGCAAAATTATCCAATAACATGAATTTGTTCAGAACAGAAATTAGGAATTTACCTTAATAGTTTATCTGAATTATTTCTCTTTTGAATACCAGGAGAACTATCATTAATGGCTTCCTTTTTTTTTCTTTCTATCAACAAAGATATTCCAGAAATCATTAAAAATTGCATTGAAAGGTTTATAAGGCGATAATAGAGTCATGTCTTATTCCCAGCTAGTTTCATAAAAATGTAATCACTGAAATTATATTAAGATTTAAAACTCTTATTTAATAAAAGCCATAGGATACATGCGCATTGTTGAAAGATTATTAGAAAATACAAAGAAACTTAAAATTGTCTAATCATTTTGAATATATATCTGGTATTTATACTTTTAAACCTTTTTGATATATACAACATACAGCATATATCTTTTTTATTAACTTTTTTTAGAGAGAGAGAGAGAGGAGGGAGATCCAGACATTGATTTGTTGTTCCACTTATTTATGCTTTCATTAGTTGATTTTTATATGTGCCCTGCCTGGGAATTGAACCCTCAAACTTGGTGCATCAGGATGATGCTCTAACCAACTGAGCTACTGGCCAGGGCTAAAAATCTAAGCCAGATCATGTCACCTTTCTGTTCAGAACACTCAAGACTTCATATTTCTTACAGGCTGCAAGTGTAGCTTCTACTTCTTTCCTCTCCCACACTCACTCTACTGCAGCCACTTAACCTTTTTTTCTTGAACATACCAGGCATACTTCTGCCTCAGGACCTTGTTACTTTGCATTGCCTATGTCTTCTGCCACAAGCACTCATTGCCAGATAGTAGTTGTATGACTGGATCTTTACCTCCTTCAGGCTTTTTCTCAAATGTCACCGTCTTGATGACCCCTTTTTGATCTATGCAAAGTAGTAACATACTCCTGCCCTTTGTTCACTCTCTTCTTTGCTTGTACTTTTATTTAACATGACATTTATTTCTGTGCCTATCTCCTTCC